CAGAAGTTTTTTTAAAGTAGTAACAAAACTTTTGAGGAATTAATACAGCTTTATTTTTTAATCTACTTCTAGCATATACTATAATTTCCAGTGAACCTTAAATAATTTATCACAAAACTTACTATCAAGAAAATGTTAAGATATAGGGAAACTGTTCTAAATCATTTACTTTCTGTCTGTGCATTGTTATACCAGATTATTGATTTAACAATGTATATATTGTATGAACATATGGACTGAATTTTTGAGAGAATTCCATATTATAGAGGGACTTTATCAAATCCTTCAGAGTTTGGAACAGTGGCCTCTGCATACATTTTTGCCAGACACCCTAACAGAACATACAAAATGGGAAGACTAATTTCTTGTGCTTGAATAGGCAAAGGGATTTTTCCAATCAAAATGGTGCCATTATTGTTCTAAGTCTCAAAATGATTTCCTGATACTTTTGATGAGTGTTTCCTTACCATGTTTGTTGCCTAGTTAAGATTATTTCCCTAATTTTTAATAGTATATGTGGAAGATGAAAAATAAGGGGACAATCCAAAGGAAATGGCAAGAACCCTCAGGGAAAAAAAATGGATGAATATAAAATGATCTTAGTTTAAAAGAACATTGGAAAGAAGCTCTAAGGTGTTTCTTTGCGTATCAAATTTCTGCTTATCCTTAACCTTGCCTCTAGCTGCTTGAAATTCTGTTTAAGCAACTTTTCTGTGGAATATTGGTAAAATCTATAATCATTAGACTACTGGAATCAATTCATATCAGATTTACTCTTTCATAATAGCATTCTTGAATGCAGTTAGCACACAATTAAAACACAGTGAATGGAATTACAAGCTTCTAGAATCCATTTTTTAATATTCTTTTGTTAGCATTTTTTGAAGGATTTTAAATACATTGCTTTAAATTTCTTCTTTTTAGTTAGACAAGATGAGTGAATTGAAGACTGATTCTAGCCACAACTCTAAATTCCCTTACTTTCAGGTTTGCATAACCCTTTAAAATTATTTAAAAATATTTTCTGTGGTTTCACTATGTTTTCTCAAGAGTCCAGTACTTAAATGTCATGTGTGTGTTTAGAGAATTTGACAGCAGTTTGTTGTCACAGTTGCTTTAACTTTATTACAAGCCATTTAAAAATCACATTTGAAAATATTTGTGTAATTTCTCATTTTGTTCTTTCTTTCTTTTCTTTTCTTTTTTTCTTTTTTTTTTTTTTGAGACAGAGTCTCACTCTGTCACCCAGGCTGGAGTGCAGTGGTGTGATCTCGGCTCACTGCAACCTCTGCCTCTCAGGTTCAAGTG